AACTGATTCTGGAGGTTTTAAAAAACAGAAGTCTGTACTTTTTGTTCTCTTTTTTTTGTACCAGAAAGGGAAAAGATAGTGAGAAATTAAGGAGACCAGCTTAGTGTTACTGTCGGTACATATTACCACAAATCTTTATGGTTTCTAGGTGACACTAAACACGAAAATGACTTCCTACACTTACTGCTATGTGATCTTGGGCTGATGAAGCTTGAAACCTATATGCAAAACCAAATCAGAAAAAATTTGACTTGTTGCTGTGTCTTTCTTTTATGGAGAACATTGGTATTTTGAATGGACGATGGGAGATGGTTGAACAGGTTTCAATCTTTGGCTTTGCAAGAATGAATGACATCAGACATAGAAGCTGCAATTGTTCAAAAATATGGTGTTCGGAATAAATGGTTTTTAACTCCACTGTATAGATGAGCCAACATTTCTTATTTAAAGGGAAAAAAAGGATTAATCAGTTTTAAGACTTGAGTGCTTATGAGCATCATTATACCATTCAGCATATTCCAAGCAAGAAATGTCATCCATCTGTTAGTCTTATTGTTGAGGAAGGACACGCTTCTTTCAAAGACCTACAGGCACTGGAGAATTTTCACAGTTCTTGGTAAACAGTCAATTGTCCTTGTTTTAAAATGTTCAAACCACGCTGTTGGTCTATTTTAAGTTTTGTTTGCTTCATATTCCAATCATTTCATCTGATTATGTCTGTATTTGCAGGCTAGACCTTATGGAAGTCATGGCTTAGCTCTCTTCTGATAAACCTTGATAGATTTTGTCAGTCTCAAATTCAGGAATCCAATCCTCTTTTGGGAAGTGCTAAAGCATAAGCTTAACTTAAAATCTAATTTGAAATCTGTAGAAATTGAGCATGTTTCTGTGCAGTCATTTATTAATAATCTAATTTTAAGTATTTCCTTGCTCATGATGTTTTGATACTGTGCATTTTCTAGACCCTGAGAATGTTTTTCAGAGCTCTTGCTGGACCTATGTTAATAGCCATAGCAAAATCTGTGCTATATGACTAACAGCGTTAGCTACTCTTTCCTGAACCCTCCTTTCCTTCTAACCACCGCACTACCAGTGTGTGGCAAATTACTGGACCATCACAGATGCTAACACACTGCTGGCATTTCCAAAATGCACCCAATTTCCCTCTATACACAGCGGGCCACCCCAGGAACTCTTTCTGATCCCACTTTTGCAGAGAACATGCTCATCTCATCCACCCATGCTCCCTTATTGGTCCTCTGGTGAGGTGATCAGAGTGCGCAGTGAAGTCCAGGCAATCCAGCTGCTTGCATCCAATGGCTGTGTAATTTGGTTTTTCTTCTAACAATTTGATCATTTCCCGATGCTTCATGTTACAGGTTGTCCTGCATCACGTATTGGACAGTCATCATGTATTCCTCACGTGGCTAACTCCACACAGGGGGTGGGCACTCCGGCTGCGGTCCTTACCGTGCCAAGCACACAGCTCATACTGCATTTAGACTTCTCCATCTTCTCATTCGCATTGCGCAGTAGTTTTTCCAGGGCCTCTGCAAGTCAGACCACAGCCATCCTGCACTCAGCTGCCTGTTTCAGTCTCTCCTTCAAGAACCCTGTCACTCTCTCTGAGTTGTAGGCAGCAAAACCACACTTACAAATTACAGTTCCTTTTCCAAAACTGTGTGTGCCCACACCTAGCTATCAGTTTCATCACCATTAGATCTCATTTTGATAGCTAGGCTTCCTGTTTTTTCAAAAAAAAGCGCTCGAAAGAGCTTTGCCTTAGCCTTTTATAGCAGTATCTGCCTTCTATCTTTATGGCTTGGCTTCTTTTGTAAACTGGATGCTATTTTTTCCAGCAGTGATCACATCAGCCCTGCAGATATGGGTGAAAGTCTATTTTCATTGCCACTGTAGTCAAGAAATATATAACCTTTTGTCCTCAACATACCGCTACTTAGTTGTATTAATCATCTCCCACATCATTTTCAAAATCATTGATTTCAAGGCTACAAGTAGCCTTATGTTTGAGTATCGTCTATAGTCTTTGCTTCCAGATACATAATCTTGCTTTTGGATGCATTAAGTCTATTAAATGTGGCTAACCAAAGTTTAATAAAGTGTAATAAAGACTAAAAACATGTCTATTCTCCTATTGCTTGGATTTTCCATGTAATTTATCATTGCCTCTTGTCTGAAATCTTGTAGGTAGACTACAATTTTACATGGAATTATTTTGCTCCTTGCTGACTCTTTGTCTTGCCGAAGGTACCATGTCTAATCAGTTTAATTTGTTTAATATAATTTGAAGATTTTAAGACAAAACATGTGTAACTTTGAAGATATTAAAAACTCCATCAACAATTTACTGGTATTATATTGATAGAAATTGGCACCATTTTCTCTGCCTCATCAGTTGCAGAACTTCACTAGCTAACTCAAAAAATTCTTTTGTGTATAAAACAGAAGTTCTTAGCTTCATTTACTTCCCCCCCGTCCCCCAATTTTTTTGCTGTGATTATCCTGAGAACATTTTGAAAGTATATCTTATAAATATGAAAAAGGACTGTTTGCATAATCTAGTATCAGTTCTGAATTTAATGCAAATTCAGATCAAAAGGAAGCAACATTGAAAGTGCTGCAATCTTCTATTACAAATATTTTGGGCCAAAAATGAACTACTACTTCAATGCATAAATTTATCTCGAAAGCGCACGTCTGATTGCAAGAATCTCAGTATCTCGTGCCCTGATCACAAGTAATGTGAACTAGGAAGACGATGCCTTTTCAAGTACAAGAGAGGAAATAAATGCTATACAACCTAATTGGAACAGAAAAGTTAAAAAAAAAAAAGCTATACAACCTAAATGGAAAAGAAAAATTAAAAAAAAAAAAAGGGGATAAGATGCAGACAAAGGAGATTACAATGACTGAAGAATTGAATGAAGTAAGATTCTATGGTTTAGTTACCAGGTTTTCAAATTTTAATCAGCAATTACTTGACTATGGTATGTTAAGTGTCCTTACATGTAGTAACTGTCGGGGGAAGGCTTGTTTATCCCACACAAAAAAAAAGAAGCAGCAGACACCAGCAGCTGGCAAATAAGGCCAGGGGAAATACAAACCAAAAATAAGGGATATCCTTCTCTTCAGGGAAGGCTGGTTGACAGCTGCACCAAACTATTGAGGGAGCTGGAGCATCCTCATCCTTCCATATGGAAGTTATACAGTAAACACAAGTGACTGGTTTTAGGGCAGCAGTAACTGGATAAATTTCAACAGGCTACAGAAAAAAGGAAATTATTGTTTCCTACCTATGAGCTAGAGCCCTCACATTGCAAAAGACAATTAGGAGATGATGAACAATGAGGCTGGTTAAGAAATCTTTAGGAAATATTGGGAAAGATTTTGGATGGCTTAAATAAGGCTGGTAGTATTAGAAATTTTGATCTTTTCACTTTTCCAACTATTTTCTTGTTTTACACTGAGTTATAAACCTCCTCTGTGAACCTCCCGATGCACAAATGCATCGATACAAGTATTTAGGTATAACATTGCTACATGATCTATATCCTTATTATAAAAGCAGTTGAGGACATCTTTTACATCAGATAAGGAGTCATCAGCATGAAATATTTTACTGTCATTTCTGGTTTTAAGGTCTATGACTACAATTGAAATAGTTCAGAAGATAAATAGTCACAGAAAATGCCAAGGTCACGCAACATAAATGTTACCTGGGAGAAAAGATATTGGTAAAGGTCTTCCTTTAAAAATACACCTAATCATGTACCTACTTTGGAGGGTACAAGTTTTAAACACCATAGAAAAGTTTTTTCTCTTTTTTTTGCTTCTCCTCTTCAAAATCAAACAAATCATTACTGGTGGGGCTTTTTTGGTGTTCAAAAAAAAGGTTCATTAAGTAGAAAAGTGACAGATAGGCTTTGAAAAGAAAAACACCATCTGCTCTATTAAGTAATTTCTAGGATATCCTGTAATTTTACTATCCCAAATAAGTATCACATGACATGGAGAAAAAGTGAGCTTGTATCAAAAGTCCCAGCCAGGACATCAGATAACAAAAGAAAGCCCACAGGTACACATTCTGCGTCTGCCACGGCAAATGGGCCATGTCTGAAGAAGCAGCGGTGTGTCTGGGGCTGACTGCCCTACCTGAGCTAGCCACACCAGCCTGCTGTGGAATTCACCGAAGCAGAAGAGACACTCGCAGGGCATGAGTCATACAGATGCGGTACTGCGAGCGTCTGAGTCTGAGTGAGGCACGGTCCATCCAGTAAGATATTAGGCGTTTCACTGAATCCCTCTGAGCCACATTTTCCCCCAGTTTAAAATATGACTAACGCTTGCTTTCTTCTCCCTTACATCCCTTGAGCCTGTAGACACACCTGCTAAAAGAACCGATGCTGGCTGCATATCTGTATGGCACAGCATGGACAGGACTCTGCACCTCACACAAGTGGAATACATAAGAACTTCATTAAGTAGAAGAATGTTTATAAAACGGGAACAAAATATATACTGGAGTGCCCTTAACTTCCACAAAAGTCAGCTCAAACCGTTACACCCAGCAGGAGTGAGACCGAGAAAAGACTGCGTTGTGTCACGATGCACGAAATAGCCCAGCAAATGTCATATTGTTGCCTTTTATTTGCTAAAATAACTGCTTTCAAATGCCAATCATTTGTTTTGGTAGAAATTACAATGTGAAAATTCTAACAGCATGTAAAAATATATCTTTTTTAAAAAAGTAGATAATCTCATAACCATCATATTTTACCTGAGGGGTTTATGATGGATGTTGAAATCACCGATATCATGTCTGGAAACTGTTATAAATAACATATCATGAATAAGCTGTTCAACTGTGATGGTTCCAAAAACTCCAATACATTAAGACGTGTTTGCTCCACTGAGTCCATAGCTCTCTTTGGCAAGAGAAACAAGATTTTGCATTTTAGAATATTTTAGAAAATAACTGTTCAGCCTTCCATTTCTACATGAAGTCCCCATTGTTCCTTGAATTGCAGGAGATACATTTCTTGGTCCTCTGATGATTCATCAGATACTTTTTTCTCATACAGTCTGGACAAAATTCCCTCTTTGTCAGGATCATCACACTTGACTACTCCTTCACACATCTGATTTTCAACACTGGACAAGGTAGGAATATACAGTCTTCCAGTGTCAGGATCCCAATCTACTAATATGGTCTCTCCACCCTCTTTATCCGTTAGGCCCTGTGCTATTTTTTCCAGCTGAGGACAGGATGTCTGTCCAGATTTTTCAGTATCCAAGTCCACCAAGTTGATATGGGTCTCACCTGCCAATTCATCTGCTGCATCAACTACCTTCAAATCAAGTTCCTCTGTTTTCGGTCCCAAACATGGGTCTGTTGCCTTCACCTCTAGCTGGGGGCAATATGGATGTCCTGTTTTCATATTAATCAAGTCCCCCAAAGCGATCTGTGGCTCACCTAGTAGTCCCCTGTGGACAGAGGTCTTCTCTTTCAAACTGAGCTCTTCTAGTTTCTGACCAGGACTGAAGTCTTCAGCCCTTATATCATGTTCATACTCTACGGTACCTGCATTTTGCTGTCTCAAAATATTCTTTGTTCCAGGCTTGCCATAAGATGGCCAGTTCCCAGTTTGGTCCCCTTTGGCTAAAATATCCCCTTCGTGTGAAATCTCTTCACTTGAAATATCAAGCAAGTGTTTTGTTTCCAGCACTTCTTTTGAGGGCAAATCCTTCCCTTCGGTGCCACTGTAAACAGTGTAATAATGGGGGTTTTTCCTTTCCGATAAATGACTGGATTCCTGAGATGGCTTGTACTCATCCATGTTAACAGTGATAAGGTTGACTACTATTTTTTCACATGGTATGAAAACCCTTTCCTTGCATTTGTCAGTGTAGTGCCATACCTGGAAAGCAAAAAAATATTTTTATTTGGGTGAGGTACAACAAAAATACCATCTTGCTGCTTCACATACTGTCATATATCTTTAAAATGTAAGGCTAGGCTAGACCTTATTAGGAGGTTATTTTAATTTAGAGAAGAAGGAAGTTCATACAAAACCTCCAGGATATGTTACAATTTTTTTATTCTATCCAAAGTAAAATTATATTATGACCAGCTTTAATATCCACTTTCTCATTTTCCCCATGTCAAAATAATGATTAGAACAATTTTATCAAATTCTCATTTTGTTTCCACCAGCACAAGCTCAAGTGACTTTGGAGAAAAGATCGAAGTTGTCCTTGGGTCACAGATTACAGAATCTATTCCACTCTTCTTAACAAGTGAAGAGGAATTGCAGGCAAAATCACATCCCACAAGCAGCATCAAGTACCATGTTAAGTTATAGCTTACAGAAAATTAAATAATATCAGGTTTCCTTTCAGAGACGAAGCTATACAGAAGGTTGAAGTGCAGTGTATGGAGCCCACACTGTGCAGTCTGTCACAGGCTGCTTTTGTGACTCTGTGATAAATCATCTAGTTCAACAACAGGAATCTTTCTGAAATGAGTAATATTTCTCACAGGAATAAATACTCTACAAGCAGTCACTAAATGAAAGTGCAGTAGAAAAACAACAACCAGAAGCTGCACTTTAGAGCTTTCAAGCTTCAGTGGAAGACTAAGACCACTAATCATTGCACCAGGTAGTCTGAAAGCACCCCCAGGTCAGAAGTGCTGGACCAAAACAAAGTGCTTATTCCACCTCCCCTCACTGCACGGAGTGCCCGTGTGGAATAGTCTGTAGGTGGGGAAAGCCAGAGAGCATCATTAAAATACCACATCTATATTCATTTGTTATCTTAACATCAACCGATTCCAGAAGTGGAGAAATAAAATTGAAGCTTAAAGGTGGTCATAAAAAAATGAAATGGATGTTAAAAAAATCCCCAAATTACACATTCATTAGAGAAAAAACTCCCGGAGTTGGAGTTTAGTCTGCTATTGAGTGGGAATTTTTCACTAAGTAGCCCTTTACATTCTTGGAATGTGAAGAGCTCTGTCCTGCTAGCTCTCCAAGGGAGACCACGCTGTCTCCCCCTACCATACCCTGCATCCCAGGATAAAGAATAAAGAATAAAGAATAAAGAATAAAGAATAAGAAAGACAAAGAAAGAGTTTTTACCAGGGCCTGCAGTGACAATGGGCAATGGTTTTAAACTGAAAGAGGGTAGACTTAGATTGGATATAAGGAAGAAAATCTTTACAATGAGGGTGATGAGGGACTGGAACAGGCTGCCCCGAGAAGCTGTGAATGCCCCATCATTGCAAGTGTTTAAAGTCAAGTTGGATGGGGCTTTGAGCAACCGGATCTAGTGACAGAAGTCCCTGCCCACGGCAGGGGAGTTGGAACTATATGATCTTTGAAGGTCCCTTCCAACCCAAACTGCTCTGCAATTCCACGATTCTGTGATAAAGCTGGTGCCTCGTCAGGTGCTGGAGGTGACTCCATGCACATCTGAGCACACGGCAGCAGCAGCTGCTCTACTCCTTGCGAACTCACAGTCCCTCTGTGAACATTTCTCCTATCACCGCTTTGCTGCTCTAGATTTCTTCAGAAAGATCAGCATGTTGAAACCAACTCCCTTATGCCTCCCATCCCACGGTGTCATGCAGATTGGATTAACATCAAAGTGTTCATTCATTATTGTAATTGCACGTTTATGCTTGAGCAACCTGTTTAGAGGTAACTCTGAGAAAGCTCTGCTGGGCTCGTGAGCTGGAAACCAATAGTGTTTCTTATACTTCATATGTTCTTTGTAAAATTTAACAAACTTTGCAGTTCTAAGGAATTTGCAAACATTTTTACATAGGAAGTGTATTTGGGTTGTGTAAATAACAGAATGTGTTTGTTGGTACATTTTTGGGTGTTAGAATCATAGAACCATAGGTTGCAAAAGACCTCTAAGATCACCAAGTCCAGCCATCCACCCAACACCACCACTCCTACTAAACCATATCCTGAAGAGCCACATCTACAATTTTTGAACAGCTCCAAGGATGGGGACTCAACCACATCTCTGGGCAGCCTGTTGCAATGCCTGACCACTCTTTCTCTAAAGAAATTTTTCCTAATATCTAATCTAATCTAAATCTCCCCTGACGCAACTTGAGGCATTGCCTCTCGTCCTATCACTAGTTACCTGGGAGAAGAGACCAACACCTGCCTCACTCCAACCTCCTTTCAGGTAGCTGTAGAGAGCAATAAGGTCTTCCCTCAGCCTCCTCCCCCCCTCAGTCTCCTCTTCTCCAGACTAAACAGCCCCAGATCCTTCAGTTGCTCTGTATAAGAGTTGTTCTCTAGACCCTTCACCAGCCTCGTTGCCCTTCTCTGGACACATTCCAGCACCTCAATGTCTTTCTTGTAGTGAGGGGCCTAACACAGTCGCCCGGGTACGGCCTCACCAGTGCCGAGTACAGGGGCACGATCACCTCCCTACTCCTGCTGGCCACACTATTCCTGATACAAGCCAGGATGCCCTTGGCCTTCTTGGCCACCTGGGCACACTGCTGGCTCATGTGCAGCTGGCTGTCGACCAGCACCCCAAGGTCCTTTTCCACCAGGCAGCTTTCCAGCCACTGCTCCCCAAGCCTGTAGCATTGCGTGGGGTTGTTGTGACCCAAGTGCAGGACCTGACATTTGGCCTTGTTCAACCTCATACAGTTGGCCTCAGCCCATCGATCCAGCCTGTCCAGATCCTTCTGCAGTGCCTTCCTACCCTAAACCAGATCAACACTCCCACCCAGCTTGGTGTCATCTGCAAACTGACTGAGGGAACACTCAATCCCCTCATCCATACCACTGATAAAGAAGTTAAACAAGACCAGATGTTTCCATTAGGAAATGGTGCAGTATTTGAAAGTACCAGATTAAATTATCTGTGTCATGCACATGTGCTAAATCCTTCACAATCACAATTAAATGGTAAAATGTTGCAATGCCCAGTAACAGTCCAAGAAAACATCATGGGGTTTCTGCACTGCTTAATTATCTTCTCTTCTTGTTTCTGATTTCAACCAATTAATAACTTTTGTTCACTGAATCCCGACTGTGCTTCTTCCTAGATCAATTTAGGGAGTGCTAACTTCCCAACAGAACTTGACTCAGTGCACCTCAGACCTTGCTTATGGCAATGACTCTTCCCAAACCAATAGCTGAACTCAAGTTTTTACTCCGTTTCTCTTGTATTTAATAACCCTCTATGTGATGCTCTTTTCTTGATCTGAGTAGCAACTAGGGCTTTTATTTGCAGCTAGGCATGGTTTCCTCTCAGCTGACTCGGAGCCCTGGAAAACGTACAGCTCTCCTGTGAGTGCCAAGGTTGGCAGTGACCTCCTGCAACAGAGAAGACTTACCAGGTTTGTTGGGTGTTTCTGTTTTCTGACGTGAATATACCTGTGCACACAGTAGCACGTCATTGAAATAAAAAGGACAGCAAGCATGATAGGCAGAACACATCCAAATACGATTGTTACAGTCTCATCTGCCGTTTTATCTGTTAACAAAATGAAAGTTTTCATTGTACTGAGCAACTTTTTAATGTATTCAGATAGTAGTGTGCATTCCCCACATTGCTTTTTGGATATGGGATGCAAATGTTTTAGATAAATAAGGGATTTGCAGGAAATGTTAAAAAATGACATTTCAGCTACAAGACACATTTTCATTATTATCTAAATTATAAATTAAATTCTAAAAAGAAGTAGCAATCCCTCTCTCAGGTTCTCCTGTTCCTAACGTCTGCCCCCTAATCCTGACCCAGCTCTGCCACTCCCAGAACTCATTCAAGGAGAAAAAAAATTCTGCGTTCACTAAGACTCAAAGAATGCCGATCCTCTTCTTCAGAGGTATTGTCGTACCTGCCTGTCAGTTGACCCCACCTATGTTTTATTAAAGGCAGTTTTTTTTTCCATCAGCACAAATGCACAGAAAAGGGAGAAACAATGCTAGCTTTTCACTCTCAGAATGGATACATAAAAATATTAAACTCAATCACTGTGTTTTTTCCTAACCTGCACCTTTTTGTAATTCGCCAGTTTACACATACCTTTCAAAGTAGCAATGCAATATTCTTTTGAGAACCCACTGTGCAGAAGTGGTGTGGTGACATATATCTGTGCACTGACACAATAAGCTGTTCCAGCTTCTAACCGGGGCACAACCAAGGTGTTGTTGCTGACGGTGAAGAACCACTGGAAGACATGAAAAAATGATTTTTTTTCCCTTCAACTCCTCATTTACAGAAAAGTAAAGATCTTATATACAAAACGTGTCACAAGCACACAGATTATCTGCAAAGAACAATGATAATGTAAGAACTGCCAGCTGCGTCCTTTTTTTACGAATACAATTAGGTCATGTCCTCTCTTAATATTTTATATCCAATCATTCTTCTACGACTACTGAACAATGTCATGTTTTATACGAAGTAGGACCGTGCACTGCCACTAGCCCGCATTCTCATGCTGATGTTGCAACAGAGCCAAGAAATCACTCCAGCCCTGTCCTGATGTCCAGGCCAATAAAAGGCACAAGGGACAGTTCCACAAGAATCTTTCACATCGGGATGTTCTGGTAAAGGACCCTTAGAATAATGGGTGTTATGTAGATCTTGGAATCCAAGGTAAAGTAATTGCTTTATGTCAAGCACCTTTACTTAAAAAAAACCCAACAAACAAAACAAAACCAAACAAAAAAACCCCTTCTGTATACCTCTAATTGCTAATCTTGGCATTTTAATATCCCCTTTGACAAAAGGTGACTTTTGTGGTGTAAAGTTTCTGTCTCTTTTCAGGAAATTGAGAGATTTGCGAGACAGAAATTGCGTCTGGAGGACGGGAACAGAAGAATGAATTTTTTTGTAACTGATCACTGAACTCTTCCTCATCTACTGTGTTTATGCTGGGAACTACTACTTGACAATGAAATGTAAATCAACAAATGAAGACATTCAGGCGTGGTGACAGAGGATGCACTTTGTCACCATGTATTGCAAGTATTGCCAGTAGACTGCCTGGCTGGGGAGCAGCTCTGCCGAAGAGGCCTGGGGAGAGGCAGCAAGCTGAACTGAGCCAGCAGTGAGCCCTCACAGCAAAGGAAGCCAACAGCATCCTGGGCTGTCTTCACAGGAGAAGAGGCAGCAGCTGTGGGGGAGGAACTATCCTCCCCCACTCAGCGCTCATCAGACCACATCTAGAATATTGCGAGCAGTTTTGTTCCCCCCAGTACAGAAGAGACTGGCATACTGGAGTGGGCTTGGTAGAGGATCACCAAGACGGTTGGGGCTGGAGCACTCGTCCCGTGAGCAGAGGCTGAGGGACTGGAGTTTGTTCCACTTGGGGAAGAAGGTATGGCTTCAGGGGGACCTTACAGCAGCCCCCGGGATGACCAGTGAGGTCATCAAGAAGACAGAGCCAGGCTCTTCACAGTGCTGAACGGTGGGAGAATGAGAGACAACGGTCATAAATCCATAAAGAGAGGTTCAGGTTGGATATGAAGAAACACTTTTTCCTAAGAGGAAAGTCAAGCAGTGAAACAGGTTGTACGGTCCCCATCCTTGGAGTTTTTCAGGAGGCAACTGGACAAACCCTGAGTGACCCTGTCTGAGCTCACAGCTATCTTGCTTTGAACAGGACTTTGGACTAGAGACCTCTCGAGCTCCCTTCCAACCTGGGTGATCCTGCAATTCCTATCAGGCTATGAATCCTATTCTGATCTTCGCTGTTATAGACAAAGTGCATTTCAGTAAGCAAGAGCACAGATTTAACCAGTGCAGTTCTACAGCCTTCTTCAGTGCAGCTCTTCTTCAAAGCTTACCCGCTTCTTTGTTTTTTTGTTGAGGACAGACACGTTGTATTGCAGGCCAGGATACACTTGAAGCAGAGATACGGATTCTTCCTCAGGATTTCTCTTCCACTTCTCAGGAGCAGTCAGAATGATTGAAATAGATTTCTCAGTAGAAGATACACTTACCATGGGTGGATCAATTTTAGCTGGAAAAATGAACATGTACAAAAAGCAGTCAAATGCAGCACAGGCACACTAGTTTGACCATGCAGATTCTTAAAGCAGATAATACTAAATTTTTGTAATGTTTTGAGGAGTCTAAGTAGGACTTCGAACAATTCATTTATATTGGTAGAAAATTACGTTATCAGATAACTAAGAGGATCTTTACAGTGAGAAGGTGAACACTGACTTGGAATTTTGCCTAGGAATTCCTGTGACAACCTTGAAACTCAATTTACTGAAACAAGCTAAATTACCAGTATGTTCTCAGATTATCTGGCACAGATAAGAGATATTGTGCTCTAAGAGTATTATTACTGCTTGGTTTAATAAAGCCTTTTCAAAATCAGAGTTCTTTACACTGTGGGTGTGCCACAGCTTATATTTGCCTTGAGTAAAGCTTTACCACAGCATAAGAGTATTCAGTATATATATAATACCATATATATAACACACATATATCCACATTCTAATATGATTATTTCAGTGACTTCTGCCAAAAGCATAAATATGAAACAACCGCAAAAAAATGTAACCTCATGTTAAAACTAAAATATCATACGCTATGAAGGTACATGCAGACTGTGCACACAGTATTAGGCAAGCCTATTGAATATCTGGCTGTGTGATTAGCTTTCCTTACTATCTGTAAGAGGGTTGAATCGCGCGGTGTCCATCCAGTCCGAGCACATCCCATTTAGGAAGGCTTTAACGCTCGCGTAGTATTGTTCTTCGTAGTCAGAGGTCTCACTGGAGAGGTCACACCACGTTCTGTTGATATTCCTGCATTCTGGCTTTCTAATCCACTTGCCAACACCATATCTATATTGAAAAAGAAAGAGAAAGGAGCTGTACAAAAGCTATTGCCATGATAGTTGTCACCTGATAATATAGTACAGAAACTGATACTATGGCTGATAAAACAATTTGCTTGTTTTGCAGAAATCTGCAATTTCAAGGAATTCCTAACTTCAGCTGAGATAAAACACAAGACTTCCACAAGTTTTTAATGAAAAATACATCAGAGTAGGCCCTATCCAGAAGAGGACATATGGAACTAACTGGGATATTACCGATACCAATCTAAGTCCAGTTTTGCTTACACAGACCAGAGATCTCTCAACTTCAGTCTCCGCAGTTTTAATTTAAACTCGGAACGCATGATAACAGAGTCAGGATAACTATTTATACAGAGACAAAGAGTTCTGTCAACATGGTCAGTGGCTCATGCTGGTGTATGGAGACAGGTGATGCTCAGGGTCTCCAAGATGAGTGGACGGGAGACTACTCATCACTGACTGCTACTTCTTCTTCTTGTTTAAAAGAAAGACTCCATTGGAATACAAGGAACTTAAAACCCTTCTAGTTGAAAAAGGGTCACATACCAACAATGCCTCAATACTGACCAACTCTTATGCACCAGTAGAAGAAATCAGGGTTTCCTTGGAAAATTCCTGCCTGGATTTGCTCAGAAGCTCCTGCTCCTCAAACTGACATTATGCTGAAAAGAATTCCTCTTTGGCTGCTAATTATTAAGGGCATGTAGAAACTTCTACATGACCGCCAGCACTTTCCACCTAGCTCAAGGCCTTGCTTTCCTAGGCAGGTAGACGCACACGTGAATATTTTTGTCTTAAGTGTGAGATGGCCGTACCTACAACTACAGACTCTTTCATGGACCAGCTGACCCTGCAGAGTCAGTGTAGCTAGTGCCTGCTGTGCATTTTACCTTCTACACAATTACCATTCATTCCTTCATTACTGAGCACTCTCCTCTCTTCTGGGAGGTGGATGGTGTCGCTCCTTTCTTAGCACAGCGACCAACATCTGCGCAAAAGAGGCTGCAGTCTCTGACTGTAGAAGCTACTCCTTGTGTTTTTTAGTAACCAGTACAAGTAACAGGAATCTTCTGGAGATGTGAATTGGTTTCAGTATCATGAAAAAATTACTAGACCGAGGGAAGTGTTCATATTAGAGGTAAAGACTGGGAGCATTACATCATCCTTGATGACACTGCTAAGCATATTTATAAGCTAAACTTCCAGCACTGTCCTGCAGAATGATCCCATGCTCTCTCGGTGGGAATAAAGGAAATAGACTCTGGTCCTCACTCAAAATCCTTTATATCCTACAAAGGTGCAGACTTTGAAAATAGAAGGGCCTGATTCCAATCACATTGGTTCTCTGCAACACCTGATAACTTCACTGGATGTTCCTCTAGACGAGAGAGGCTTGTGAGATCAGAAGAAATCTGTGGGAGTTGGGTCTGTTAGAAAACACCAAGGAAACACTGGGTGCTGTTAATATTCTATTAAATACTACATCTCTAAATCCATTTAAATGTGTACAGAATGCTAATGTGTACAGATACCAATCCACAGCACAGTCCTTCTTCCTTCTGTCTCATTTCTTAGGGATGCCCCTGAAAGTTTCCATGTTGCATCCCATACTACTTTAATAGGAAGCTGGTCTCCTTATAAATTTATTTTAACTGGATCTGAAGTAAGCAGTATCAGAAGTAAAAGTTAAAACCCATATTGCTTAAGCCTAATCCACGTTTTAGTTTTCCTTTCTTTACTTTTCAGCAGCCCTATCTTGCACAAATATTTTTTTAATTATTATTTGAAATGTTAAAATAAAAGTCAGTGGGGGGTAAAATAAACAAGCCAACTTACACTGAATACTTCACCTTGTACAGTACTCCATCTCCTGCGCCTTCTGGTGCTGACCAGTGAAGGACATTCTTCATGTTTACAGATTCAAAACGGACATTCCTAGGGTTGGGCAAAGAACAATACAATTCTCCTGAGAAAGAAAATAAGAAAGGAACAACATGCACTAAGAATCTGCAAATACATATGCTTCCAAGTTAACCAAAAAAGATACTTCTTTTCAAGTAAGCCATAAAATTCTACATACTGCCTTTCTCATCATAAAAGGCACAAAGTGGTTGGACATGGAAATTAATTTTTTTCAAAAGTGTCCCTAGCTAGTGCAGTCTCATATTCCACCTATATGAATGTGGTTTCTTCCTACCAAAAATGGCCTTGCCATATATGACAGACATTGGCATGGAAATATCCAGGGACTGGAAGCTAAAGCTAGAAAAGTTCAGCCTAAAAGAGACACACATTTTAAAATTTGTATAGGTATTTGAATATCAGAACAATTTAATACTGGAAATTGTAAAAAATATCCTTGATGTGTCAGTAGGATTCTTCTTGTAGCTGAGTGGACTTGTAAAATCAAACCAGGTATTTTTAAAAACACACGTGGAGTCTACTGCAAACACAGCTTTACCAACATAAGTATGACTTCACACTGGAGAATCAGACTGGATGATTGCAATAGCCCCAGCGCCACCGGATCTTCGATGATGATTTTCCAGAAAGTCCAAAGTGAACGCCTACTGTTAGGTCACTCATCCAAACTGATGTGCATTGCACCAGGTTTTGAAATGAATGAACAAGCAGGTCTGGGGCTCTTTGGAACCCAGTTTCATGCCTTCCTAATCTAATAAATTTAATGGAGATGCTCACATTGTTAAATTGCTTGCTAAATGGAGGGCCATGGGCCCAGGGGCAGAATCCCAAGCTCCAAGTTGTGACTCAATCCCCAGCACCTCCTCCCATGAGAGCTGCATCCATGGGAGCAGCCCCGTGACCAGCCCTAAAGCTGCAGCTGCTGGGAAGGAGCTTCTCATTGCGAGTGGCCACAACAGCATAATGGGGAAGAGAAAAAGCGGATCTGTGGTTCTTCAGGACTTTTCCACGGATGCAATTCTAGTTCTTAAGATAAGAAAAAGAGACAAAGAAAGGGGAAAATAAAGCTTATTAACACAAACAGTGAGAACCTGTCTGAATTAATAGTCTTTGACCTTTGTTACCTCCTTAAGCAGACCTTAAGAGGGTTTTGTAGTATATTTCACTATTACTAGAGTAACAGTGTTCATCCTACTGTAGATGTAACATATAGTTGCTTTTGTAAGTAAAAGTCACCATCATTTTCCCAATTAACTTGCTGACTTCTAGCTGCCTTTCAGCCAAACAGTAAAAGTTTGTCTCTTCAATACATTTACTAACAATCTCCTTGCAATTCAGTAGACACCAATTACTTTAAAGTGTCTTGGTGGAAATTCTGAGTTTTGCAAGTCTCTAGCTGCATGTTAATGCTTAAAAAAAACTCTAATATATGCCTGCATCTGTGTCTTCAGATCACAAATCTGTTTATGGAGGGTCTTTCTAATGATGCTCTCTTTAATCGCTAGCATTTAGCTAGTGTTCAGTGGCTTTCAGTCTTTTTCTAGTTGGAGAGACAAGTTTTGTCAGGTATAGTCCTTAGGGCAAGCTTACTTATTTACAAAAAATATGTAGAAAGTCCCATTTCCTTGAACACAGAAGTGCCCAGTGACAGTCATCTTGCAAGAGCTCAAACAATAGACTCAGTTATAAAGAAATGAAAAAAGTTTCAGGATGCCAGGGGATGTGAAAGCAGCAGAAAGAGACCTCCAGAAATCTGCCTTACTCTAACATTTGCTTCCAAGTGGGAGATACAGAACCTAGAAAATGAAAGGTTTTGATTTCCCCAGAATAAATGTCCTCTGCTTTAGGTGAAACTAATCCAATGTAAAGATGAAGCTGCCCAAGAAAGCAAATAAAACAGCCTAAAATTTGCAATGTCTGTTCAGTAAAATATAGAAGCTCCTAAACCACTAACGTGCGTGCTACTAAGAAGAACAAACCAAAACCAGCACTACATGGAGTACGAGAAATCATCCATGCATCAAGTTTCATTCTTTGTATCGCACCCCAGCACTAAAGTGTATGAGACTTCAGGAAACCTACCAGCTGCATAATCAACAACTGGGAATTCGATATTAAAAAAAAAAACAACAAACAAAAACCAAAAAACAACTAGAAGTTGCACAATCCTACCCAAGTCCTGAGAAAGGCAACCAGGCAATCCATGTAGAAAGGGAGGGAAGGACTGAGGCACAAATAAGCTTTCTGCTGCAATTCCCAAGCAGGAGGAAATACAATGTAGGTATTTTCTTAGATTGCTGGGAATCAAGGCCATAAAATACTTCTCATTAAAAATCAATGAGGAAAAACTAAAAAGCACAACACAGAAAGATTTAAGAATAAAACAAAGTCTAGAGGAGAATACAGTATATGCTACACAGTCCAAAAACCTCTGGAGGAAAGACTAAAAAAATACCTAGCCCTTAATCAGCAGCACATGAGGAGGAGATTTGTCTCTGGTGACTTGGGCTCTGAGTGTGGCATCTACCCTGCAGTGCTCATAAGAGCAGAGGAACATAAAGTCTTCCATAGGTTCGTTCATCTCTCTAGTTAGGATGACCAGACCAGACTGGGTGCACCTCTCTCCCTCCAGTGGAGGTGGTGGTCAAGCCCATCAGCCTTGCTCTCTGCTTCCTCGGCATTTAAATTTATCAGAGATGCACCTTGCTCTGGGAGGAGCCGTGGGGAACACTGTAAGTCTTTACATGAGAAGGATAATCTATCCTCCGTGTCCACCAGTCACAAGAAGGAAAAGGAATGGAGTTCAGTTTCAACAAGAAAGGAGGCATTGGGAGTAACCTCTTGTGGGAAGAGGAGCGACACGTGAGGATGGGTCACCCAGGAGGGCTCCTGGATGTTTTGAAGGGCAGGTTAGAGAAACACCTGTCAGAAATTACACTATTTAGCTGATTCTGCCTAGGGGTAGTGGGATGGAGTGGGTGATCTCTCAAAGTCACTGCCAGCCCCATTTTGATAGGCCTTCCTATACTACCTGACAAATCTGGCTTCACACTGTGTAGTAATAAATTTGGCAGGGGTACTGCTGAATCAGATACAGCACAGCTAAAAACATCCCTAACAGCTCACTTTTCACACCTTTTTTCTTTAAAAGCTTTTAAAATATGTACTGCTTATCAGACTAATCCATAGTCACTGAACTGAACTGGCCAGAGGCAGACAGCTTATCAGAGACAAGGGAAATTACTTCCATTGGTTTTCTGGATAGTTTTTGATTGTCTGTACGTTTCGATGCTTGCCCATCCTTGCATAAAAACATTTATATTCCTCAAGCACATTTTAAAATTATGTTAAAATATTTTTAAACTAGTAACGTGTAAAGGTGTTTTTTGTAATTTTTTTTTTTTTTTTTTAAATTTCCCTCCTCCCAGTGTGGTTTCTGCTGTGGTAAACGAAGTTTCAAAACAGAAACACTGACTGCAGCAGATGAGCCAATCTCAGGACGCAGAACCCACAGACTGTATCTTTACAAGATCTAAAGCATTACAACACTGCCGGCATGCTCTCACCTGCCCCCAGCTCAGAGTGATTTGGAAGGCAGAGGGACCAAGACCGTTAACTTTCCATTTGCTACAAAAGCAGAGATTTGGTTTCTATTTCTGGTCTTGTCCCTTTAGTAAAAGCTTCTGTTTGCCCTTGCAACAAATCATTCAAGTTTTTTATTCCTCAGTTCTGCATCTGTAAAACAAGAGTAAAACTACCATACTCCCGTATTTCTCCAGGAAGAGTTAAGAATAAACTCCTTCACGTCTACTCAATACTCAATAGTATCAGGAGGCATGCATAGAAAATGGAACATACATAGAGCTTGTATTCCATGGTTATCAGTCAGGAAAGGACTCAAGTATGTGCATCAGCTGCTTATTTCAGTATCTCATCTTTAAACACAATATATCCAGTTACATTCTGATTTTATTTCCATTAACTGATATTAATGGCATGGGTGTCACATGGAGTGTTTTCAGTTCGTACTGGCCTGCATGAGAGCAGAAATCCGTCATACACATTGCGTTGTTAGGTTTAGTCTGTCTCATCGGTACTCTGCAATGGCAGTCACCACTTCCCAGTATAACTAAGTCACCTTATTTATTTCTTGCACGGAAAAACCTGGAGCCCTTATTACTGTCTTTGGAAACGCTGTAAATCAAACCTTGAGTAATATCATTCTTTACATCTTCGTGACTCCGCACACCTGGACTGGAAAGAAAGTAATAATATAGGCTTGCACACTTCACTACCACAATGAAGAGCCAAGTCCTGATCTTAGAACAAGCTATTGCGAGACTCTCTAAAATCGACATGACTTAGCCCGAAAACACCTTCACATGTGAGCAAAAAAATCCACTGACGTCAGTGAGATTATTCACATGAGTAAAAGACTGATGGCAGGTGCCTCATCTTCTCTGTGTGAAAGTGTCTGCTGGTTAAAAATATGATCAGTTTTAACTGCGTAGAGCTCCCTGCCAGGTATGTGCCTTGCCTGAGCCGGTGCTATTCAAAACTTCATTTTCCATATCTATCTGCTTCCCCACACATGCATACACATACACACATATATATACAAACACACATAATTTCCATGTTACAACTATTATCTGCTCAGTGTATCTGCTTTTTATCTGCTAGGAGGCACCACTGCCTAACTCTGTGACAAACAGCCGTGTTTAATCTCAACACTACGGAACAAATACAGCTGCAGCTACCTGTGCCCTCTCGCTATAAACAGATTTGTTCGCTTTTCACTCGAGTTAGGTAACCTAGCAGCTGCAAAGCATAAAAATACACAAAGACATAAAAATACAGGGTTTTTTTCTGTACACTGGCTCTTGTTCTGGGGTGGAGAGAAGGCAGAAGACCCACTGAAAGCTGACCTGTTGGCACACAAAAGCCTTCTGTGGAAGTACTGGTGTTGGCCGCAGCGCTCACAAGCAGAGCAATCACTTGCTGTATTTTGCTGTGGCATGGCTACAAGGGTGCAAACACC